ATATTTTTGATAATGTTTTCCAAATTATTTTGAAACACCGAAGTTGAAGAAATTTTTTTCCTTTTGTTTAAAGTTTCAGTGTCAAAATTGTTTGGGTTTTTTATTTGGATAGTCGTACTAGTTTGAAGGGAGGTATTATTATCGTTTGAAAAAAAGTTTTCTAAAAAGTTGTTATTTTTTTGCGAAACTTTGTTTGAATTTTTTGTTTGTCTAGTTGTGGTCATGTTGAAATCAAGAAAGAGTCTCTCTCAAAATCGGATCAGTAGATCAGCGAGAAATCAATCTACAAGATCATTACACAATATATATAAATATGGTTAGACTCATTTTAATATATCATGTAATGATCTTGTAGATCGATTTTTTGCTGATCTACTGATCTGATTTTGACGAATTTTAGCTTGTTAGAATCGCTGTACTGAGGAGAATCGGAATTCAGTATCAGTTTTTAGTAGCTACCCTACTGAAAAAAATTTTCTAAGCTTAAATTTCATTAAGTAAGAAAATGTGATGTAGATCGCTAAATTGCGCAAAATTGGTCTTAATAATCGCACTTCAAATTTTTACTGAATATTCCTAGGTTTTGAGGTTTAAAATAAATATAAAATCATATTCCTAGCATTTGTGGTTGACAAGATATAAGCTTATAACGATATGCAATTCTAGTTGCGTTTCTTTTGCTTGCCACTGTATATTAAATTTATTTTATTTAAAATTTTTTAATATAAAGCTAAATAAATTTATTTAATATAGCTAAAATTTAAATTAAATGATATAATCAAAATAATTTAAAGTAAAAAATATTATTAATATATCTAAAATAATTAAACTAAATAAAATAAAAATAGTAATTATTAAATAATTAAATAAATTAAAATAATTAAATGGTCAAATAGATAAAATTATAATAGTTAAAATCATTAAACTTATAAAAATATTCAAAAATTCAAAATTATAGAAGCTTTCTAAAACTCCTTCAAAATAATTTCTTCAGCTAATTTCAGGTTTTAAGATTTCATTATATCTCTAATATTTTAATATAATTTTGGCTGTTTATTAATTGCTTTTTTTTGGGTTTCATCCCTCATCTTTAATCAAAATATTTAAATAGAAAATTTATTACAATAATTAAAATAATCAAATTAATTTAATTAAATAAAATAAAATAAAATAAATAAAATAGACTAGCTAAATTTTAAAATAAATATATAACTATATTTATAATATAGAAATATTAATATAATAAATAATTTAGCAAAACTATAGATAAATAAATATATTAAAATAATCAAATAATTAAAATAATCAAAATAGTTAAATAGCTAAAATAGAAAATATTTATAATAATTTAATAAATTTAATAATTAAACTAAATTGTCAAAATTAATAGTAACTAATTAAAAATTAATTAAAATAATTAAATTTGCTAAATTTAAAGTTCATATATATAATAATAAAAATAAAAAAATTAATTTATAATTCTAAAAAAATAAATTTAAAATTAAATATTATATTAAAAATCTAATTGTTATTTATAAAATTATATTATAATTATATTAAATAATGTATTTTATTACTTAAAAACATGTATTATTTTGTTAATATTTATTTAAATTTAGATTTATTTGAAATTTAATTTCAGATAACCCAATTTCAGATTCTATCTGAAATTTAATTTTCAGATTTTGTCTAAAGTTCAATTTCAGATGTCCCAATTTCAGATGGCCTTGTAACTGAAATTCAGATTCTATCTGAGTTCAATTTCAGGTAAATTCAATTTCAGATATCCCAATTTCATAATAACCTTGTATATGAAATTGGAATTTAACTGAAATTGAAATATTACACGGAAGTTGCCCAATATGATCATGTCTGTTCAGACAGCAAAAAAGGGTATCTGAAATTGGAATTCCAATTTCAGTTAACTGATCTTCGGATCTCAATTTCAGATGCCCGAAAAGTATCTGAATTCCAACTTCAGACGAAAATCAATTTCAGTCGATAATCAAAATCAATTTCAGATATCTGAAATGATCGAAATCAATTTCAATATCCGAAATGATTTTTGATGTTTGAAAAGGTTTCGAATATTTGAAATCAGTCAATCAATTTCAAATATTTGATTTGTTTTATTTGACAAACAAATATTCAAATATTCTATTTTCAAATGGAAACCCTATCCCACAATATGTCCATCAGTATGATTTGTCGAAGAGTTTACAAATAGACATAATATAATTTTTACGAATCAATATCGTCGTAGTATAGTTATTTCCCGAAAATATCGACCATATTCCCAGATTTATATATACAATAAAAGAAACCAAATAATTAATTTATAAATAAAGTTATTTTATTTTGATTAAATGATTGGATAAATATCCTAAGTGCAATTTCTATTAACAATCGATCACAAAAAATCACTATGATCGGCAACATTATCAAATTCTTGCGTAGAAAATCTTTGATATTCAATTGAGATTCCAAAAAAGCTACTATGAATCTTATTTCCATCATGGCAAAACTAAATAAAAATGAAAACAATTATTTATATATAAAAATTTCCAGATAACATAATAAATTCTTGAAGCTTACCTTCCCCTATACACAATTTCTTGAACTAAATAAAAAAAAATATTAATTTCTATATGATGCATAAATACATATATGACTCGTCGGCTGAGAATGAATAAAAAACATCTTTGGGTATTTTATCGTTGTCTGAACATCTTTCCAGTAAAAATTCTTTAACATTATTCCCTAATAGGTTGTATCATGATGTAACCGATAAAAATCCAATACTAAATTTGTCTAAGAAAATAAATAAATAAAATTTATATGTGTATTCCAATATAGATTACAATCTATTTATTACATAAAAACAAAAAGAAATACTTACATTAGCAGGAATCATTTATCCTTTAATAACTATCTTCTGCAGGCGATTTTCCAACGCTTAAAAATAATAAACGCTAATAAGCCAATTATAAATAAATTCGTTAAAATTTAAAACGAACAACTAGTAATTGTCCACAAAACGCGTAATAAAATTAATAACTCTCAAATTTTAGTTAAAATTTAAACAATTTCACAATATACATGTATACATACCAATACAACAGGCCATAATCTCATGGTTTCATTAATAGCATCATTTAGATAAGGTAAAAGATTTCAATTTATAGTGCATAGGTAATTTAACGATATATATCTCCAAAAGCATTGTCAAATTCCTCTTGTAACGCTTTTAATATATCAGGATTTTTTTGCGAGTAAAATTATTGCCATTAAGAGGTAAATTTAACTGTATCTTCAGCTCCAGAAATTAAAATTCTAACAATTATTTCAAAATCTGACATTTGACCATTATCATCTTTAGGGTCTTTTAATCTTAATCAACTCATTTGAAAACTAAAATATAAATATAAATATAAATGCAATATCATATAAAAAGGATTAGATCGCAATCGTAAAAGTAGCAAACATTACAATATTTAGTGAATTACTTACATTATACAAGTATGAATCAAAGAGATGAAGTAAAGCAAACACTGATCTATAAAGTGAAATAAAAATATTAGTTATATAATAAAGTAGCAATAATCGGATTTTTCTTTTTTTTTTTTGAAACATACAAAAGCCTTTCTTCGTAGTTTCGAGTTTACTTTTCTTGAAATTGGATGATAAGTTTCGACATTATGAAATCACCCACAAAGCAAGTTTCTCCGATATATTCTGTCTGCATAACAAAAAAAAAAAAAAATATTAAAAATTTAAATTCTAAACAATTTATATCAAACAATCAACCTTTTCCACCTCCAACTGCAAATGCTTCTCGAAAATAGAAGTTTTAAAAAAAAAAATAACGAAATATGATCTACCACGGTGCAACTTTTTACGAGATTAACCATATTAAGTACATCACCACCAGATGAAATAGTTTAAATCGTTAACATACGAAGCCATCAACAGCGACGTATTTAGTTGAAAACGCTGGGGAGAGCAACTTTCGCTATAACGATATAAGTTTCGGTATTAGTTTATTAATTTTAAATGTACAGTAATATGTTTTAATACTTACCGTACCGTTTGTTTGTTCAAATCTATATTATTTTGATTATCTTCATCATCATCATCATAATTACCACTATCTTCATCACTAATATTATTATTTACTTCTTCATTTTTCTTTGTTAAAATTATATTATTAGCAGTTTTTTGTTGATTATTCCGATTATAATTAATGTCAGCTCGTAATTTAGTCATTTCTAGTACTCGAGTAAACTATATATAAAATTGTTTAATTACAATATATTTAAATATTATACAAATATAAAATTTACATACCATTAGTCGATTTCTGTTTTTTGTATGAAAAAATCCCATCCGAACCCAGCATCAATATTTATAAATATTATTTTTAAACTGGAAAATAGATGCATTATCAAAGGGGTATGTGGTTCCTTGTGAGAAATCATCAAATTCTGCAAGAATGGATTCAGCTTCACGACCAGTACAAGCTTTATAATAGTATACTAACCATTTTCCCATATGTATATAGCTTATTTGTGATTTTAAAGATATTATAAAATATTTCATTTTATATATAGGATGAAGTAACCAAGAAAGAATAAGGAGTAACTGTTCCCATGATTCTCATCTTTTTTGTAATCGTAATAAAATCTCATTTAGACAGATCATCATCTGGATATTTTTTTTCCAAAACTGATATAAATATGCAAAACAATGCAAAACTTCATGTAATCTTGCTTTATCAGCTTGTAAAGTATTAAGAACATGACAACTTTGGAAGAGAAGGTGTTGATGATGATGACGTTTACGGTGATGGTGATTTTGGTTGTGAAATCTATAAATGTAAGCAAAAGTAAATGTCATAATCCAACAAGATGATACGTACGACAGAACTTAGTTTATACTTACGGGCTTATTTCTGCGTCACTTCTTTGACAAAGATGATCCAATATTATAATACACCCGTGCTAGATTTCGAACATTGGTGGTACGGGTTGAGGATGGTACCGTTCTCCAGTTTTACGTCGGCGAACGATAGGATCGTCAGCGTCAGTGGCAGAGGCACAAGAGGAAGCACTATCCCTTTCTTCATCCGGATCGTCATCCAAACTTCCACCATCATCTTTTCTAGATTGGGAGTTTCCAAAGTTTCCTCAATTGCCAATGCTTCCTCAATTTCAAATGGGACCTTCAAGGAAACGAGCTCCTTAATAAATAAAATTGTATAATATTTTTTTTATTATCTTACGAAATAAGATCATTCAAAAATACCTTAACGTGTCGATAAACAATAACGGGATCTTGCGGAATAATAATGATTTTGCTTCGAAGATCTTTATGGTAGCCATCCAATTCAATTTTTCCTGAAATTGTTTCAATAAATCGAAAGAAAGATGTTGCTAATGTTGATTTACCACAGTCTATATTTATTTATTTTATTTATTTATTTTTTTTTTTGAAAAAGTTTGAATTTGAATTTTCTTTTTATAAGTATAATAGCAAATGGATAGTAATGTTCACGCTACATACCAGTTCTTCCAACAATACC